CCTGGCCGGGCAAGCTGAGCCTAGAAAACTTAAGGCTCTGGATTATGGGAATAGATTTGAGAGTTCCACATCTGAGCATCTTCGGTTTTTGACGTTCTCTCTCTGTAATCCACTCCTTCGAGAGTAACATGGATGTTTGAGTAGAAGGCCTTTGATGCTTCTTGTGCTTGTGTCCAGAATCAAACCCCTTTCCTGAGAAGCCCGACCCAATATGGGCTTGATTCGATGGGAACTTCTCGTAGGAGGGTCTGAGGGCTTCCAAAAATTATGGCGGCGCCGCATGTACGCAAGAATGCTTAATACAGGGAGCCCCTAACCCCTCTTCTTACAGGGAGTCTCAAATCCCCAAACGATAAATCCCTAAAACCTGCAAAAGGGAGAAACTGGGGTTTTGATATGTAGTAATTACATCCTTCCAGCGAGTAAAAAAAATGTCGCCCCCTATGCAAAAGATCCCAACATGAGGAAGACAATTCATGATTTCCTGGCGGTGGGGCCCAACCCTAAACCCTTTGAATTTCTAGGGGAGAGACCCGTTTTGGGAATATATCATACTCAGAAAGGACCCAGGGCCTTAGCCTGGATGACTCCCCACCAAAGCACCAAAGGACATGTGTGCAGTGTAAAGGGACTGTCCAGGGTTTGGGGACTAAAGGCTTCCCCCTTTACAGATATGAGAGGTTGGGACCTGCATTTCTAGACCCTAAACCCTAAACTTACTTGAAGGCTTCTGGGTAGCTATTTCTGGGGTGATGAATCGGATTTGCGTAGTCATGGCTGCTTGTTCTTCGGGACGGGACCTTGAAACTCCGGAACCCCAATGCTTGCATTCACTTTGAATCCTATATCTCCCACATAACCTTGATAGGCCCATTTCTACTTATTCATGCATACCCCATATAACCTCTATAGGCATATACTTATAAAAGACTTATAAAATACTCAGCCATTAAGCTTCAGGTAATCCCTGTACACCACCATGAAACCCCAGTTTGCATTTCCTTTCCACGAGAAATTTCGATTTGATGATCCATTGTCGGGGGGAGTAAGCCCCTACATCCTATAGTCCCCCTTAAGTAGATAGAATATGGCGTTGGGTATATTATAATCAGATCCCATATACCCCATATTCTATCTGCTTGAGGGGGACTATATACTTAAAGTCCCGAACCCTATAGAATACCAGAATACCTGTATTCCCCTGGGGACCCCAGGTAGTCTTCGGTCCTGGTTTCGGATACTGCTGAGCATGCTCTTCGATGCCCCAACCTTTCGCAAGGCACGCTGAAGGCCTGGCAAAGACCATGGTTGTTTTGCAAAAGCGTGGGTCCTTCCGAGGGGCTTTCACTACTTAGTTGGTTCATACATAATGTATGCAGAGGTATTTTCTATAACCATAGGTCCAGTCTTTCTGGAGGGCAAGAGTGAGACTTGATTTTGAAGAAGCACTTATTGAGAATCACAAAAAATGGATAGCGGATAGCTCTGAGGCAGGCAGCGTCCGGAGACCATCCATACCATCCCCAGAATGCCGTGGGGTGTTGTTGAAGTAATGTGGAAGGATTCCCGGCAATCGCTCGCTACAAAGCTGTCCCCAGGAGTGGGTTTCTACACATAAGAGTCCTGACTGTTGCCGCACCTGGAACCCTAGATGACAAAAAATATTCTGACCACCTGCCAGAAGAGGCCACGTCGACCCCAAGATCAACAAACTTAGCACTTGGTGCTGGGAGCGCATAAGCTCTGACCGAACTGACCAAGCCCAAGAAATGAGACTTCCCGCTGACTCTCCCGCAGTTTGCTGACTTCATCTCGAAAATCAGGACATCAGCCTGGAGTGACTCTGGCATCGGGAATTTGGACTCGATTCGCGCTCCTTGCGCAATTGCCAAACCCATATACTCGAAACACGCCCTGAAGGCGCCCTAGAATCACGGCCCTACTTCCAACCTGTGGAGCGGAAGTGGGTCGACCGCGATGCAAGGCAGGCCTCGATCTTTCTTCATCATCTCAAACCTTCGGAGGAACCTGCGGCCACACCCTCGGTGTTCCTGTTTTGGGGGGGGATTCTGCCGTACAGTTCTGTGATTTTCGAAAAAGCAAGTAGTGAGTGCATCCAGAACCAGGTAAAGCAGAAACTGAAGCCTCCATGGAGACAGTGTCTTTTAGGAACCTTATAAAGCAGTTGCAGATCAGCTCCCGCACAGGTCTCATCAATGGTTCATCTCAATTCCTTTAGCAAACCTTCTAAAGCCTAAACCCTAGACCTTGAACCCTAGACCATCAAAGCTCCCTTGACAAACCCCAAGGTCCAAGGGCACCACCATCCGTGCTAGCCCTGAGCCTCAAACCTGGGATTGTTCTACTTCTTCACCTGGACTCTACTGGGTTTAGGGTTTAGGGTTCAGTTTTGGAGAGACCTGTCATTGACTTGAAGCAAGCACGTCACTGCCCACACGCTCTCTCAAGCAAGCATTTTGAGCTGAGCTCTGAAGAAATCCATATGAGCTTTGTCTAAACTCCTAGTATCCCTCCTAAGTAGCCTTATAATAGGAACCCTCTATAGTCCCCATATAGCCCCCATCAAGCAGTTTAGACTATAGCTCATACGCCCTGCAAGTAGCTCTCTTCAGGGTTGCAGGCTTCTCGGCCTTATCAAGCAACGCCTGTCTCACATCAGATAAACTCCATGGCTGCCTGCGATGTAAAACGGGTGAACGGGATATACGATAGTAACTAACAACAAGATTCAGAAGTTTTTTTCTCAATTGCTAGACTACTAGTCCTGCTACTGTGACATTTTGGTACTACACACGCATTAGCATACCTGCAGGCCAAACTGGACGTCTGTCATCCGCCTGACAGGCTCAAAGCTTCGATGCTAGATGAGACCAGTCACTTCTTTCAGAAGAATCAAAATCTGGCCCGACATAACGGAAAGCTTTCAAAATGAGGCCCAGTCATGTACTCCCCAAAACGCATACCGTCAGGACCTACAACAGCAACTTGAGAAGCCCATAAGTGGCCGATGATGACCTTGTGGCTTGGACACCCAAAAACTCCGGCAGTTTCCATTTTACTTCCCGTTACCGACCCACATATCCCTTAGCCCTGAACCCTTCTAAAGTCCCTTTAATAGGGACCCTTTGAGCACACAGAGAACTGCCTAGCCGAGGTTTGACTGAAGAGCTCCTCGTCCTTCGGGGTTAGATGAACGCCTGGCATTGGGAATTTCATATGAGTAGTGTTGTTTTTGGTGGTTGAACCTAGTAAGATTATATACCTTATATGAAATACTATACCCCAAAAGGAGGATAGAATCTTACTCTATATTGAGTACCATAGTATCCCCAAATAAAATACTACTCATATGAGGTTTATGGAGGGATTATATAGGGCTATATAGGAATCATGTAGGGGTTATACTATAATATGCATTATACATGGGCTTAGGGTTGGTGTTTAGATGGAGGGATTATGTTAAGGGTTCTGAAGGGATTCTATGGGGATCATACGTGGGGTTGTGTGGGATCATAAGCATTTATAGCACCCCAATATTGGGATTGCGTGGGTGGAGCTTTCCTGAAGCAAGGCCAAAAAGAGCTGGGGTTGTCGGCTTTCTAGGGTATTTAGCGTTTATAGGGTTTAGGGGTTTAGGGAAAGGCGCCTACGGCTTTCGAACAACGAATTACGAGCCGCCCTATATGGGTTCTTGTAGGGACCCGGTCTGGTGAATGCCACTTGTATGTCAGGAGCCCAAATTGGTACTGCAATGTTGGCCGCTATCTGTTTAATTTGATGGCGCGCCTGGTCAGAAGCAATTTGTGCTTGAAGATTTGTGCCCGGGCGCAAGTATTAAGAAGGGTGTACAAGGGAGAGGGATTGTGGAGCGCATTAGGAACTTCCTTCCGCATTACTTCCTCTAGAGGCCCACAAACTCATGGTACTCTTGGAAGGAGGATGCCACAGGTTAATTACCGTGCACAGGGCAAGTAGCTTTACAAATCTTGGCTTATTCATCAGAAAAACCATCACGGGCCTCCAATAAGAGCTCATGTTCTCCAACACTCGCAATTGAACTCCTGTCCGAATTTATGTAGAAGCTCGAGTTTTACTAATGCTTCGCTAAGAATACGCAAGCTAGTGCACTAGGAACACACAATGGAGAGAGCCGCAACAAGCACGCCGAAAATCAAGACCCGAAATTTCCAGAAATTTCCGGGTTAGATTAGAGGGTTCTTGTGTAGCTTCACAAAACACAGCGGACCCCTAAAATCATACACAACCCTCGTTCCGACAAGGGGACCCCGAGTTTATGGCAACCCCCATATAGGCATTACCCTAAAAACAAAAACCCCATGTTACCCCTACCTAGACCCCAAGAGTATGTGGAATAATGGCCCTTTTGGCTGATTCTAGGGGTTTGGGCCACTATCTTACCTACTTGTGGGGTTTGGGCAACACCCAGTGCGAAGCAGCTCCGGACATGTCCTCGCGCCTAGGGCCTTCCGAGGTGGCGGCAGCGTGCTCGCTGCAAAGGCACCATTTGGGTTGACGCCTTCCGAGCAGTGGGGGCTCAGGTTTCAGGGTTTGGGGGGGGTAGTAGGGAATAAGGGATTATGGTATGTAGGGGTTCCAGTCCCCCTTAAGTCCATACTTTATCTACTTAAGGGGGACTATATGTAGGAATTACATGCTCTTATTGCCTTCTATTATAACCATAAGTTCTAAGCCCTAGACTACTAACCAATCGTAAGTTTAGGAACTTTCGGATTTGGGGGGGACTTGGGCTTGAGGGTTCAGGGGCCTTGGAGTTTGGGCTTTAGGGTTGAGGGTTTATGCAGCTCAAAGCTTCAAAATGCCCATGCCAATGAAAATGACATCAGGCACGCCGGGACCCATGACATGACAATCATACAGATCTTTGCTGCAACCCAGATAATCACACTGCGCTCGTGCATTTTCATCTCACAGCATACCAAGTGCGCTCAGCACTGCACCCAGAAATTCGAAGTTTGCTGCTGCCTCAGCCGTTCAACAAATAGACTTCAATCTTTGAGGGTGTGCAAGCAAGGGAATTAAGTAAAGCTTGGACGACAACAGGGCCGCGCGCGACCACTCTCTAGCTCAGTGATGATGACATTAAACCCATTTTTGCTGCGCAGCTTGCTGGTGGCTGCATTGGGGTTCTCTCGGTAACAGCTCACGTGAGAGAGAAACTCAATCTGCTGGCCCTACCGAGGGAAGACAGGAATTGGATCCCCGTAGTTCGCTTAGCAACACCTCACAGTATCTCGTATGATTATACACTTGTCTCGAGGTGCGAGTGGTTTCGTACGATTCTTACACTCATTCATGCATGTAGCAACCGTCTCAAATTCAAAGCTTGTCGTCTGCAACAGAGTTTTGGCGGACAAGCTCGTGCTCCAACAACCTTCGCCATCACAACGGATGCAGCTGGAATCAGCTTCATGTCTGAGAACATGCCCGGCTTGGATCCCACCGAGCAGCAGAACTACCTACCTAGTACTTGCAAAGCGGACAAGAAGATTCCCATCTCCCAGAAAAGCCTAAGGTTACAACGATTTCCTAAAGTACCGGAGAACTCCGCTATTCCCACATACCAAGCCCGCAGCATCGATCCGCTTCTCCGCAGCAGTGGCCCGAAATACGGCACCGCGGTCCTGTTGACAGCGATGAAGGGCTGACTGCGGCTGGGATGAGGGGATGTCTCACAAGGCATTGTGTTCATGAAACAAAGAGTTTCACTTCGGCAAGTTACATTGTTTATTTCATTTCATTCGTGCTTGCGCTTAATCCCCGCAGGGCCTCGGAGTTGCTAGTGCAACCCATGCTTAGAGTTAGCAACTGCTGTTATCTTTGTTGCGCTAGAGCAATCTCAAGCAGACATTTGCAAGAACATATTTTCACGAGACGCTTGTCTCACGCTACGGAGCCAAAGTTTCAGAATGGATGTCTAGGACAATGTAGACGTATCTCGAATCCCATGCAAAGATACTCTTGTCCCTGCACCGGAACCTCATTGTCACTCGAAACCCTACGTAAACCCTAAACCCAAAGCGTCGAGGTGTTAGGGGATTGGCCTGCTCCCGGCCAATAAGCACCTCTGCATGCATGCTCCGACGGAACGTGAACCAACGCCTGAGGCAACTGTTGTGGGGGCTGCTGCAACTTCCTGTCCGAGGTCAAAGAATCGTCAACTTGTGCAAAAGGGTGGAAGAGTGTTAATTGTTAGGGATTTTTGCAAGGGTTCTGGTCTTTGCTGAGCTTTGTTCTAGTACTGAGGATGTTTAAGCAGGTTTGGGTCAGAGGTTTCGAGTCATTCAGATATGCGAGTAAATCCCACAGAGTCAGCACCCCACAGCAAGAAAAGCTCAACCCTAAACCCTCAGGATCCAAGTTTCTCTCAAATAGTAGATAATTTCGGCCCAAATTACATACACACATATTATTAGGTACTTGGACCCTAAGCCCTAAACCCATGCAGCCATCGGAAGCCCCCCAAACCCAGGCCCTCTACTCGCTGTCCTCAGCCCAAGTCCCACATCCTGAGCCTCAGCTCCATTGCAAACCCCAACCCTTAAATCACAACCCGAAACCTCAAATCCTATATACCCATATATATATATAATATGTACACATATGTATATATCGGAATAGTTTCATACGTGTCCCCCACAGTTGCTCTGCAATGCTTTTGTGGCCACATATGTTTGGAACACTAACGTCATTATGGTTTGGACATGGATGCTCTAGTGACCGTATTCTCTTGGAACACGAATGCTATTATTGTTTGGACATGGATGCTCTGGTGACCGTATGCTCCTGGAACACGAACGTTATTATGGCTTGGGCATGGATGCTCTGGTGACCGTATGCTCATGAAACACGAACGCGATTATGGTTTGGGCATGGATGCTTTGGTCAGCGTATGCTCTGGGAACACGAACGGCGTTATGGGTGAGTGCCCGTGGAGCCCGGGCACTTGGCGCAGGTGGATCCCCGGTAT